CCTCCGCGGAATAGTTCGTGGCCGCGCCGTTCGGTTCCGTAGTCCAGGTGTCCAGGTTCGTCGCCTTGACGATCTCGGGGACGCCTGTGAGGAAGACGCGACAAACATCAGTTGCGTGGTTCAAGCGAGCGCGGACGGGGCGGTGCTCACCTGGGTGGGCATCACTGATGACGGTGTGCAGGTACAGCACAGCCGTCTCGCGCCAGATACTGGCGACCGTATGCCGCGTGTGCTCGTCAGCGCCGGGGCCCGATGATTTCTTCCAGTGCGCAAGCGCGGCGGTCTCGGCAATCGCGAGCACAGCCTCGTCGGGACAGCCGGTAAGCTTGTCCATGCGCAGGTCGAGTTGGTCGTTGTTTGTGCACGGGCCGCTTGAGCACCTGGCTAATCTTAATAGGGCGACCGATGGGCGCAGGTCTGACATGTGGTACACCGTCGTCACCGGAAAATCGAGCGCAACCTGGTTTGACATGGTGAGTACGTTCACACTCGACGAGACTGTAGTGCGACGCACCCCAAGAGCACCCCAATCTTCCGCAGCCATCGATTAATCAAGTTTTCCTCTCCCGTCCCGTCCCCAGCGTACCGCAGTGCGGAGCCATGAGCGTACCGTGCTGAAGTGCTCGCGAGCATTTGACCGCCGTCCCATACGGTATATAGGGAGATCGCTGCGCCAGATAACCTTTGGGAAATGGGGAGTGCGACGGCATGATCGGATACGCTCGGCGCAGGGATCGGAAAGAAGGCGCGGGTGGCTTGGGGTGTAGTGGCTCGTGGGGAGCAGGGTTTTTGACTTGCTGAGCCCATGATCGGGCGGAAGATGCTAGTCCGACCCAAACGTTGGCGTTCCCGTCCGGCTCGATACAAGCAGCGGAACGACGATATCGGTACAGCAAGAAAAGCGTCTAAACCAAGTCTGTCAGTAGTGCACGCCAGTAGCATTGCGTCGCAGTATATACTCACCCCAACTTGAGAGAGATTAAAACCGCCGCACGTACGACCGCGTCGACATGTCAGACTTCTGCCAAGGGTTGTAGTAGCTGATCAGGTATACGGCGACACCGCGTCTCGCTCGGTGTATGGACGACCTGCGGCCGTAGCGGTCATGAGCATGACGTACGCTTTGTTGTAGAACCGTCGATCGATAGCGCGGTCAGAGCTCTCCGCGGTGGCAGTGGCTGCGTTGTAGCCATGCTGTGCGGCGTTGGCCTTGGACGAATGTAGACTAGCGAGTGCGCAAATGGCATGTTCGAGCGGGCCTTGTGGCTCTCCTGCCAAAATCTAAAGATTCGCATTGACTTCTTAGTGATGTCATGGAAGAAAATCACTTCTAAAAGAACATACGAAGGGGTATGAAGAAATAGTGGGTATGACGACGTGCTAGACATGGACGAGATATCGTTGCTATACGGGAGCGATGCCTGATTGGACGCATTGTTCGGTGTGACGAACGGAGAGGGTATGGAGAGCTCCGAGCCGGCACTTATTGCGTCTGCAAAGCGGCGTCGGACCCATCATTCAGTAAAGAAGCATGCAGAAGCCACCTACCAAGTCCGGTCATGGCGGACATTACAGTGTTCGCATGGTGGTATCGCGAAGGCTCGTAGGAGCGTCCGTGCGGGAAAGATGGGTATCGCTCCGACCAGCCCGGAGGGTGCTCGGCCCGTGGCCTGCGAGTGCTCCTGAGAGATACCTATCGGACGATGAAGATGACGTCGAGGACTGAGCAAGGGCCGATGAGGGGGACGTGAGGGAGCTGTAGACCGCGCGAGGCTGGCCGCGGATGAGGCCTGCACGTGTGAGCTGGGCCTTGATGCTCGCCTTGTACTCTGCGACCTTTTCCTGTAGGTGTATGGGTGAAGAGTGATCAGCTGCGATGGCAGACGCGACGCACCCCAGCCCAAGCAGTCGATTCCTAGCCGGCGACATGTCTTGCACGAATCGCCGTCGATTGTCGTGCGAGGTGTGGCTGCAGGAAGCGAGAACCGTTCCTGCCGCCGCGCGGCGTCCTCCCTGAGCCGCGCTGGCCGCGACAGAAGCCAACAGGATTACACCCGCCCCGACGCCCGACGCTCCCCTCGTCTCCCCCGGGGTCGTTTGAATGCGCAAGACGGCTCAGCGCAGCTGTGGCCAAAGTGTGCAGATGGGCGACTCGTGCCAGTTGATTGGAATCGATGAGGCGCGCCTGGGGGAGTGGGAAGGTCATGGCCGGTGTCACAAGCCCGCACAGACTTGCAGCCCCACCAGGGCTTCAGGTCGCCCGAGGTACGATGAAGGCCGATTGCAGCCGCCCACGCTCTTCATCCTGACTGTAGGCGTACAAGACGAAGGACTTGATGGGCTTGAGAGCCTCCAAGTGCAGGTGTCGAGTGGGCCGAGTTCAGACTTGACTTGTGATGTACTCAGCGCTGCAACACAGATACCTCGGGCGACCAAAATGCGAGGAGCTTTTCTTCGCTTGTGTCCTCGCAAACAACCTTCCCGATTTCGCCAACCCTGCAATCTCAGTGAGAAGCGAAAGCTGCGTCAAGAGCAAAATTGGCGTACGACATTTCGAGCTGCTTCAAAAAAAATACACCGTAGAGACCAGCTGCTCATGCGGCTTCGTGACTTCGCTGTTCGGCGCGATGGTGTCGCACTTAGCGTCGCGTAGGATCCTGTCATCCTCGAGATTCAGCTTTCTATTCTTCTCGTGCAGATTAGCCCGGGAGGGTATATTTATTGTTGCGTACCTGAGCCTGCGACAGGATCCGGATGCACGGTAGGGACAGGCGACGGGCCGTCGAACGGTCCAAAAGAGAGCATAGATGGCGTCGAATAACGCGCGGAAAGGTGCCAGTGGTGATGCCCTTGCGTTGCTGGACCCGACCGTCACGCGTCATGCTCTTCCTCGCTGCAGGCACATAAGAGAAAAAATTTGCGCGGCCAGGGAGCCTCGGAGCGCAGGTAGCTGCTCGGTTCGTCGAATGGGCCGTGCACGTCTTGGTTTACAACGCATTCGACGCTACGAAATGGATTGAGTGTGAGGCAGTCATGCCTAAACAGCGGACGCACCCGGTTAAATAGTAGAGAATAGCAGCCCACGCGCAGCTTTATAGCCTTGTTCTCCAGGTGCGTATTTGGCTTGTCATCTCCGACGTCTTGTTCTTCTTCGGATACGCCGTCTGACGCCGCTCGTAGGCCTTTCGGGAGGGTCGAAGATTAGGATCTTGATGCGTTCTCGTGGATCGCGCCAACAGTGCCCTACTCTGGGGAAGGGGTCTACTTGGCGGCTCAGAGCAAATCGTGCGCGGGGTGGCCACTGTGATGCATTTACGTCGTATATATTTGGCCTGACGTTCGTATCGCTCAGGCAATAGTCAACAAAGAGTGAGCATGCGTGCGCACCTATGCCCTAGCCTCATGATGCGCTTCCAACTAACGACCTCCCCCCTCCCGGCTCGTGCTCCGAAATGGACTACGAATTTGTCCGACCGCTGCAACACGGCGATAAACTCTGAAGTCAAGGGATCAACAGGGCCCCTTGAGAGGTGCAAGAACACATACCTTCACAGCCAGATAGATGGCGTCCTTGGACTCGGAGAGCGCGAAGGTCGCTCGCGTTGCAGAGTTACTTAACTTAATTACTTAGCTTACATATTAGACGCCCGTTAAGAACGAAGCTTACCCTCTTTACTTACAGCCTTGTAACCGTTACTTACCGATGAGTTACACTGGTGGGCCAGTTTGCAGAGCTCGCCACTATTGGTCAACACGCAGCGAATGGCTCCCAAAAATCTCACTGAGGGTACGTGCAGTAAAATATTCCAGAAACAGTGTATATCTAACAGGGAAATAGTAGACATCCAGGTCAAGGAATGTCGTAACTATGGCACGCGCATGGCGCGCGGACGTGAACCCTTGATCTCTTCGTGGTGTTTTATGTGCGCCGCAGGTGGCACTAGGGAAGACTCTTGCCGGTTTAAAGGTAAAGTGTCGCCTGTCAAATTATATTATTCGAGATACCCATCGTTGCGGTTGCTGTAGGATTTCGTTCCATCGGAGGTGACTCGACGGTGCCACGGTTCTCTGCCGGAGAGCCTTTGCCTCCTACTCGGTACTCAAAGGACTTTGTGCCAAGAAGCCCTGTGGTCCTGGGAGATAATTTACTGCTCCTTCAGGTCTGTTCCCCTCCTGCTTAAACCCAAGACAAGGTTTGACTTGCAATTTCACAGGCGAAGCTGGCTCATCACATACAGCTGTTTCTGGAGCAAGAACTTCAGCATCACAAGCTGCCAAATCTGGTAGTAAAAAATAGAGAAAAGGACTATCATGTTACCTGTGGTGTGTGATCTCATTTGCAACTTGCCGTTGCTGCATCAGCTAACTGTCAGACAGACTGTTGTGGCACTTCTATCTTCAGTGCATCATACATGTGCGAATGGTGTGGATACGATCTTTGTGCTCAATGTCACCTCAATGAAATACCTGAAAGATGCAAAATCAAGTGTAAGCACTATTCTCTGGCTATTGCGAGTACTGTTCTTAAGGTGGCAGCAGCGTGTACTGTTGGGTACCGTGGGGGAGAACACGTGTATCGCCCTGTTACTCGCTTGTCTCTGACTGAGCTGGAGGGTGTCAAAGCTGAAACATTTGTCATCCCTGGCAATACTAAGCTGCCAGCAAAACCGCCGGTGCCTGACCGGGATGCGAGTCGAATCAAGCAATTAGTCCTTCGGGTACCACCTCCTGACCGATTGGTTCCTAGAGTCAAACCTCACGAGCTTTTTGTGTTTGAGAGCATATGGGAAGCAGGGCTACCCGCAGTTGTCACAGGCATCAAGTTCTCGAAGATATGGTCACTCGATGAACTGACCAAGGCCTATGGCAAAGAGGAGCTGAACGTCATCGAGGTCGACAAGGAGGGTGGAGAGTCCGAAGTAAGGAGGAGCCTGGAGGAGTTTCTTCACCTCCTCTTCTCGTCGGATAGCTATTTTGCCAGAGCCAGGGTATGGCAAGAAATTATAATTCACTGCCATGAGACTCATCACAGCTTAAAGGATATCCCAGTAGCTGAAGACTTTCATGCGGTTTTCAAAGAAGTTAGCAAGGATTTTGATTCTTCACTGCCGTACAGGAGCATCACATCCTTCCATGGGCTTCAAAACTTGGCTGCGCACTGGCTGAAGCTCCTGCGAGAAGAGGAAATGCTACACAATGGGTGGCGGCGCCCAGATATTGGTATGTGACTTGGAACCCTGATATTTGAATGATTTGTTGACCTCATGCTCACAGGATCGAAAGGATACGCAGCCAGCCGCGACCACCATCATACAGGTTCCACAAAGCTGCATAAAGATATGTGTGCTGCAGTGAACCTGATGCTACTCTGCTCTCCAGATCCTCAGACAAATGATCAAGGGGCAGTATGGCACATTTTCATGGCCTCAGATTCTGAGACAGTCTCGCAGTATCTTCACGAGAAAAACCCTGGTAGCAATCAACATCTGGACCCCGCACACAGCTGTAGATTGTTCCTCACTGACAGCATGCTAGCGGAGCTCTATAAGCAACATCAAGTCAGGCCCTTCCGGGTTGTGCAAAGGACGGGCGACGCTGTCATCATACCTCCGGGGTGCTTACATCAAGTATGTGCTCTGAGCTTCCAACAATTTCACAATGCCGAACTTGTGCAAGGTATCAAACTTGGGCCCATGCGTAAAGGTTGCGATGGATTTCTTGGGCATCGAAGGTTTGGACCAGACACTGCAGGTGAACAGAGAATTCCGTCGTGAAGGGATCAATAGCTCCCTGCAGCCGATGGCTATGCTTTGGTATGCATGGCAGTCACTTTCCAACCTCCGAGCGATGCAGTTGCAGAAGGAGTCCAGTAGTGATACAAAGAAACGGCCCGCGTCCACCAACAGGGAGAGCAGCAGCCAGCCCAAACAGAAGAGGCTCAAGGCTGAACAGACAAATGATTTGTCCGCCTCTATGTATCTCTGCCCTCACGAAGACTGCGCTGTGAAGCAGAAGAAGTGGGAAATCCAGAAATTGTATGATCATCTGTAAGTGTTTGATACTGTTCAGTGTGCAATAATACTCATCATCTGTACAGGCGTGGGAAGCACAAGACGATCATACCAGCTCAAGCCCTGTTGTCGATTCTGAAACAGCCTCGTACCGGCTGGGCGAGAGCAGTTGAGGCTTACCCTAAGTCCCCGAATTGAATGTGCAGCAGTTGTTGTGATGTATATATTTAGCTTCAATGCTCCTCGCGGTGGCTTTCCGAGGCACCCGCCCCTGCGCTTTCGTGAGCTTGACATTGGTATGAATGTACGGCTTCAACTACACATCACGACCTACTTCATTCAGACTCCCATGAGAGGTACGGCGTCCTTGGACTCAGAGAGCGCTCACGTCGCAGAGTTAACAGTAAGACGATGCAAATGAAGCGCAGGATACATTCTAGAGGCATCTTCTAAGACGTCATTCTCTTTTGTTTCGAGCAGCTCGCCAGTCCACTACAGTCGCATTTTGGTGCAGGCATGGAAGAAACACGGGTCTTTCGACTCACAGAGACGAATACGAATACGTGCAAGAAGGACCACAGGGGTGCCGTCACGTCGATGGAGGCTTGTTAGCGAGGCCATGGATCGCCGCCGGTCTCCTGTAGGTACCGTGAGCAGTTTCTTAGAGCCTATATTGACTGCCCTCTGTGCAGGATCGCTATGTTATTGTGTTTGTTTCCGCGAAACCTGGTTGGAAGCCGAACACGCGCATAAGCTCACGGATCGCGCTGCCCTCACGCTCAGCGTTGCCGACCCTGCTCATCGCGCGTCACGAGGATTTGGTCATGTATGGCACACGGCCCTGGTCACAGAAGTGGCTGCTCCAGGTTGCTCGGCACCATCGTAAGTCCACCTGCTCCCAATCACGCCGGAACATTGCCCCTCATGGCGCGCGTGTAACCCCAGCACCTCGCCTCTGTGGGCACAGACTATTTTGTGGACGCCTTTGACCTCGGCATCGTCACCTTTAGATCTGTCCACATGGCCTGACAGAGGCCCTCTTGGGCCCGCCTCCCAAGGTAAACTGTCCACGGACAAGCGCATGCCCAATACGTGCGCGCGAACACCTTTTGCATCTGGCATGGGTTCTCTTTCGCCCCCTCCCTTTGTCCTATACGTGTATCGTTTCACGCTGATGTAAGAGACGTACAAACGCCTACAGCAAGGAACTCGGCGGCGTGACAGTGGAGAGTGTACGGCACCAAGAACATTCATCTCATAAGGTGCGCTCCTGTCCTTTGCCGGGGTCAGTACCGATGTTGATTTTCGTTTGACTCCAGGTGTACTCTTTGGCCGTTGAAAATCTATACTTTAGCTGCTAACGTTATATGTAGGCTACACATGTGTGATTCGTCTCCCAGCTGCAAGGCCGCGTAAATAGTGGGTTTTATTCGTGGGCGCAGAAACCTGGCTATATCGCTGACATATTTGGCGATACATCTCAACGGGGAGGCCGTAGGGGTTGTATGGGACGAGGACTCAGCCACAGTACTGGCGTGGACGGTATTCAATGGGGTTGACTTGTGCATACGTGTATCGTCAGACCTTTCGTCAGAAGCAGGTGATGGTACACCGTGACAAGCTTCTCCCACATTTTCCGAAAGACCGGACCAGATAAGGACGAGCCTAGGCAACGTCTTGTGCACTCAGTCTCTATCGAGCCTCTCTTGGCAAGCGCTCGAGGCCCTTCGTCTAAAATAGGACAGCTCCTGCAGCTGCGAAGCTCACTCTTTCCGGACTCGAGAACCCTGCCAATTTCATGGTCCCGCACCGGATTACGTTCCACGCATGTCCCTACTAGCTGTTGCTCTGTGCAAGGAGCAGCCCTACTTTGCTATGCAGCATGCGATCGCAAAGAGAGAGCTTGATGTCGTTCTGGTCCTTGACCCCATGTGAGACGTCCCGCCGTCGCAGGACCTCGTGGCCATTGGCCATGTCAAACACGGCAACGCCATCGCGCAGCAGCACCGCAAGTGCTGCGGCGCACTACCGTTAAGAGCCCCTGCCGCAGCGCTGTCGTACTCTACACCAAGGCCATGGTGCATGCGCCTCGGTCTCCGACGTGTGCCTACTGAGGGGCCTAGCAGCTGAAGACGATGTACGTGTATTGCACCACCATCTGCTTGTTTGAAGCCAGCGGCTCAGAAGGCAGAGGCCTTGCGCTTGATGCACGCGGTGCCCGAGCTGCGGCAGTGCTTCACGGGTAAGCCTCCCTTTCTCTCCGTTGTCTCACACGCCGTCATTAACGTGTTGCAGCGTGTTGCCTTTGTCAGAAACTTATCACGTGTAAGGCGCGCAAGTTCGCGGCGCAGGGCGTGCGCCACGCAGCTCGTGCTTGTGCTTGTGAGGCTCGAGTTCAGGTGCACGTTCTTTGCGATTGTGCACGCACCACGTGGCGTTATGTGCCTTCGCAGGTCGGTGCGGCTTGCGCGCAAACCCCGCGCGCTACGAGGGTCTCCTCCGGAGACTTCGAACTTGGGCGTGTGCATGTAAAAGCGATGTCCTGAGCGCGCGCGCAGGCACCTCGAGCCTGTCATCTCCGGCAAGCGAGCAGCTGTCCGCCCTCTTGCTAATTGAATGGATTGTTTATTGGGGCAGGCATAGCATGGAGGTGTGTCCACCCATTGAAGCGTCCCTCTCACTCGAGATTGACCTTCTCGCCGATGACGTCCCCCTGCCCGCATCTGCGTCTGTGGTGACGGCCCCCGCCCGCCCACAGGTGCGCAACCTACTACGAACCTAGCTGTTTTGAGCCATTTACTGCTAGAATCTTCCCGTAGCTCTATACTATAGCCTTTCCATCCGCGTAATATCACCGCGTCTCGTCTGAACCCATGCAATGATCACTCATTGCTTTCATCGCCAACCAGGCTCCACAGCTGACACACGACATTCTGGACGAGAGGTTCAAGCCTCGTGGCTGCGCTCATAATCATAAGCTCATGAATGAACCCATCGGCCGTGATGAGAGCTTTTGACCAGACAAAGGGAGTCAAGCTTGGGGGACCTAAGAGCGCGGAAACAATGGTTAGGGTGCCGACGGGCGTGACACATCTCAATATAACAAACCAGAGACAGCTTCGCTCCGCTACGCGATAAATATTCTCCTGGTAGTTGTTCTCATAGCGGCAGTTCTCGAGGTTGGCGTCTTTTGCGGTTGGCATATGCTCACTCAGGTAGCATTCTCGTGACTCTCCGGAAAATATAAATTTACATGTGTGTTTGCCTATAAATTCCGTGAGCAACCTTCTGGTTCTTGCCGCCTGCGGCAGCTCGGGCGCAGGTGAACTGGAAACGTGCGGATGGGGTAAGCAGAAGTAACATAATTGATCAGGGGCAAGCAGCGCTCTGCAGCGCTGGGTATATAAGGGCAAGGTTGGGAACAGGGCATGTAAGGGGCTAACAAACAGTAAGGAACCATTTACTTACTTTCAGGCCAATACAAGTAATACGAGTAATCACATACGGTGTTAGACTCCTCTGAATAAGGCAAAAAAAGCAGCACCTTTCGAATATCTCACGGTCCCCAACGCAGTAAATTGACACCAGCTGGTGGACGCTCCGTCGAAAAGCTAGTCACTAGGCCCGTCCCTTACCCAATAGGGATGCACAGAGCGCAGCGACCGAACACGGCTGGCGAGTCTATCAGAAAGTGTCTCAGACCATCACTGCATCAGTATCGCACCCTATGCGCCGGGTTTCACTGGAGAGATGATGCAGATTAGCAGACGTCTCCTCAGTACAAACTCTCGGAGTCTCTCGGGCGTAAGCTTGAGTTAGGGCAGTCTCGTCACTCTTTCTTGACTGCTTTCTCTGTTGCTCATCGCTAGGTAAGTGTCCGACATGGGTTATGATGGTCAGATGGATGACACCATCTTCGCCTCAGGAGTACCTCATGGTCAGGTTCTATCGTGCCATCTTAGCATTCTTTCAGAGCGGGGTCAATGAGAATCCCTTTTCTCCTGAGCGTTTCCTGGTGGAAGAAGACTCTTTGATTGCGAGGGAGCCGATCAGAAGAGAGAAAATGGTAGAGAAGGTATGCTTCCGATTGCCTGTGACACTGGGAAAACCTGACCTTCTCCAGGCAGGTATCAGCATGCCTATCAAAGCCCCCACCCTGCAAACTGCACAGGTGAGCCCTCAGTCATCCACTGCTAATCTCAGGGCATACAATATTCATTGATAATAACCGAAGTCTCCGGCTTCCGTGTCAAAGAAAGTCCTCGCAATCCTTCGCATTATCCTGCTGTTGGCTGCGCAGCTCATAATTTCCATTCTGGTTGGCGTCTTCATCACTCCTCGCGTTTCTTGCACCCAGCTGCCGCCATTCCTGAACCGATACTGCCCTCCTTCTTCTATCGAGAACGCTTACCATGGTCAAGCGGCATGCCCTTGCTTAATTCCGCCTACGCCCCACTCATGTGCCGCCCCACTGCTGCAAGGTGGCGGCATAAGTGCCGGAGCAGATGGAGCCGTCATTGCTGGAAACCCAAACGAGTTCTCTCTGCTTGGCCTAACAAACCTTGCGTCCAGCTCTAGCGGCGCACGTATCCTGCAGAAATTTTGCAAGATCGGACCGCGGACGTCGCTAATGGACAGGCTCTTGCGCTCTTCAGACTGCCATCATGCAGACTGGGTGCTGGCAGATTCTCTCGAACAGCACGAGTGTTGGGAATTCTATGGCTCTGAAGCCCTTCTTCCTATCAGGTTGGATGCTCGTTCAACAATTTCCCACTTCTCGGTGGGCCATTCCAGCTCAGGCGATCCAAGCAGAGCCCCGCGGGTGCTGGTAGTTTGGGGAGTAGTAGACGGTACGCAGAGAGAAGATCTACTGCAGCAGCTGTCCAACCTACACGCCACATTCATGGCGAGACTGCCAAGCGGATGGAGAATTCCCGTACTTCAAGAACACTTCCTTATCCCTTTGACATACATCTTGCATGAGCTGATTCAGTTCGGCGGCCCAGACACGGGAACTTATTAAGTTACACCGGACTAGCCACCCAGAAGCGCCCAAGAGCGGCTAAGACACGCTGAAGAATTTCCGAAAAGCCCAAAAAATGGCACAAGCGGGAATCGAACCCGCAGCCCGAAAGTAACCGCAGCGCGCTATACCACTAAGGCATAATACCTTGCAAATATAAGGTTGGAATTGCCCTATAATACCACTTTTCTACCTCAAAGTCTTAGCTGTAATATTGTAGCCAATTATCAGGTATTAAAGCATTGGAATGTAATTGTACAAATGTATATCCTGATGGCGTGGCTAAGACACTGACGTGGCTAAGACATTGGAACATTAAATATTTGCTATTGATTCCACTTGAGTATAGTTCATCTGCTCCGGTGTTTTAGCCACACTGGTGTCTTAGCCACGCCATCAGGATATACATTTGT